TGCAGCCAAGAAGCGGATAGCAGCAAAGAGCCATGATGTTGATTCCCAGCAAACTTCCCAATGCGTTTGTAGGTTGGACCTGCGTTGTCAAGATCTTTGGCAATTGGCACTTGCAATCTCTTCAAAACAACGCGTGTGTAGATTTGATACACAACATGCTTCCTTTTTTGATCCCAACATCTAACTCATAGAAATGAAAGACTCAAGGTCCAGGGCGCAACAATTTGGCGAGGCTTGCTCAGTCGCGGAATCTGATATTCGTCAAAGATCTCTTCAGCCAAACTTTGAAAAAGGTTCCTTTCACAGGTTGAGCCAGCAGGGATCAATGGAGGAGCTGCCCCTCCCATCGGATCGATGTCGAATGATCCACTGTAAGTCTGCTATTCGATGGAAAACTTGGATCGGCAGGCATTGATTGGTCTCTGTTTGGGCCTTTACTCCGGCCTCTCACGATCCAGTTCCTCAACAGTTCGTTCGGCCATGGCTCGAAAAACGGATGGGTGGAGGTGAAATGTCCCATTGACCTGGATACTTGTATGTTGAAGATCTTGAGGAGCGCCATGAGCTCCGCTACCATGCGAAGCGTATGACCTCAAAAAGAAGGGAATCCTAGGGGCCCATACACCTCAATGAGCAACCAGGAACAAAAACTTGATCCATCTCCCACCCTCCAAGACGCTCGGACCATTTTCTTCTTTCCACATGATGTGCATGGTCCGTGCATGGCCTTCAGCCATGAGGCAACGAAAGCTCGAAGGATATGGCTGTATCAGGCAACGACATGCATCGAATGGCGTCGAATGCATGGTACCCGACGTCAGGAAGAAGGAACACGTTTACCTATAGGTGGTACTCTAGACTCACCCGGTTCACTGGTGGTGAATTATCTCGACATAGAACATAGTCCTCAGGGTTACAAATAGCGATGGCCTCCAACCCATTAGCGATGGCCTCCGACCTAAGTGCGATCTCCAACCTAGAACCGATGGCCTCCAACCCAAGAGCGACGGCAGAGGGATGGCCTCCAACCTAGTAGCGATCGCCCTTGAACCTAATAGTGATGGCCTCCGTTCTAAAAGCGTAAGGGAGGCAAAAAGAAAAAACCTATTCTTCAAACAATTGTAACATCTTCATGTCTGAGGTGATCATGCAGGACGTTTGGAGGTCCGGCTTTTCCAAAAGGATGGCAGCAAAGGCCGCAGGCTGCAGGGGTTGGCATGGTGGTTTGCATTTTGCTCTAGAATTTGCTTTAGGCCCTTCATTCATTTTTTGCTGTAGACCCTTTGAACATTTTCTGAGTCACTCCTTCGGATGCTGTTCGCTGAACCCCTCTCCAAGTGCCGTGAGAAGTACATACAAAGTCTATCTATATTCTGAGCAAGCTCTTGTCACGGATGATGAATCCTGCGCTGCGCACCTAATGTGGCCATGTTTTTTGTGGTGGAGGCCGTCGCTAGTAGGTTGGAGGCCATCGCTATTGGGTTCGAGGCCACCGCTATGGACCTGATTTTGTGGCGTTGTTTGGAGGATGCGAATCAGCGGCCACCGCCTCTCAAGATCCTTGTCCATGGCAGGTGCTGTTGCAGCAGGGGTGCTGTTGCTCAGTCATGCGAAGATTGGAGACAATGTTCCACTGTTCAGTGATGTTTTCAACCTTTTGTGGAATGTTTGACAGAGGTTGAGAAACCAGTCATGTCCAGCAGGGAACTCAGACAGTCTGAACCAGTTGTTTTGAGTTGGTAAGAAAAGTCTTGGTGATGTGCAGTGAAACGTGGTTGTGGCAATCAGTTTCTGGTTGTGGCAAATCTGGATCAAACTTAAAGGCCATCGCTATTAGGTTGGAGGCCATCGCTACCAGGGTGGAGGCCATTGCTTGTAAACCTCCAATCATTGTCACCTTCTCAACTTCTCTTGGAGCTTGGATGACCGGATCATCTAGCTGTGGCCAAGTTAATGGGTAAACACAGGATAAGTCCAACTGCACGGTGGGGGGGTACGTCGGATGAAACGGTTTGTTCTTTTGCTGGAGCCAAATCATTTCCATTCCCTTTTTGCGAACACCTGTTAACTTGGGGTGCGGACTCAGGTTGACCAACGCGTCTGACGTGCTTCGTTTCAGCGACCAACGCGAATCTGCAGACTTCTTTAGAGCCGGGATAGACCCGGCGAGACAATAGACGCCCTCAAAGAGCATTGGCGGACCTTTTTGCATGTGTCACCCTTGGAGTTTGGTGCAAGTTTCATGAACCATGCTCAAACTCGCTCAAGCACGGGTCTGATGCTTGAGCCCAGATCGCATCACCTGCTCTCAATTGCTCTCACCAAGACTTCGAGGTCTCAATCGGCATGAAGTGCCGAAGGTTTAGTCGTGCCACGTTGCACTCGGGCCGTTTTGCCCGGAGCAGAAAGGTGAACCGCGCGTGGACGTCGACGGAGAATCCTTCGCAGTTCACATCATGGCTTCATTCTGTGGGCAGCCAATTGATAGTTTCCAGGTTTGCCAAGAGATGGAACAGGCTACACTGAAGTTGTCAACACTCAGCTCGCAGCTGAAGCTTGCAGTTTTGCACGCCTCGACCAGTTCATTCAAGATCATAGCGTTCAATGTCTTCGAAGAACATCAAGTGTGCTGTTCACAGCATTTGCCATGCGCTCCACTGGCCAGCGATGGAGATTGGCAGAGCGAGCATGGCGGAACATGCAGCGGGCTTGGCTTTTTTTGCATCCTCATTGAAGCCTAAAAGGCTTAAGGCACAGGCTACTACTAATGGCACTAGCCAGGTCGGACTTCTCCAACCCAATCTCCGTTCCAAAAACTGAAGAACCTTTTGGATCCTTTTTGGATGGACAATTGTTCCACAGATGGAGGCCATCGCGATTAGGTTGGAGGCCATCGCGATTAGGTTGGAGGCCATTGCTATGAGGTTGGAGGCCATCGCTACTCGCTACTGTTGGAGGCCATCGCTACTAGGTTGGAGGCCATCGCTATGAGGTTGGAGGCCATCGCTATATGAGGTTGGAGGCCATCGCTATTAACTTGGAGGCCATGGCTATGGCTATTAGGTTGCAGGCCATGGCTATTAGGTTGGAGGCCATCGCTATCAACTTGGAGGCCATGCATCGCTAGTAGGTTCGAGGCCATCGCTATTAGGTTGGAGGCCATAGCTATAGGTTGGAGCCATCGCTATTAGGTTGGAGGCCATCGCTATTAACTTGGAGGCCATCGCTATTGGGTTGGAGGCCATCGCTATTAGGTTGGAGGCCATCGCTACTAGGTTGGAGGCCATGGCTATTTGGTTGGAGGCCATCGCTATTAGGTTGGAGGCCATCGCTAT